CTCCTGCCTCTCCTGAACTGAAAAACAGGGAAATCTAACATTATGTAATTGCCCATTTCCCACAATTTAAAGTTAGGCATACTACAATTTTAATTAGAGGGAAAACAGTGCAACATGACAAGTAACAAATTAGCAATCTAAAGGCTGAAAATTCTCATCACAGACCTCCAGAGGCAAAGAAAAACGGCTTCGCCTGCCGCTGTGGCACACCCACCAAGCACTGCTATTTACTAAGGTGCAACTAAAGAAGCCCCTGACAGTCCCCTGTGTCATTTTGGTGTCATCTCTCTAGATCTTCAAAAACACACTCATGTTCTCTTTGCAGCTAGGGGTACCTTACACACCCCAGGCCGGAATAAAAGGAAAAAATGGAGGTGGACTGGTCCCTACCCTCAGAAGATACACCCAATGGATCACAAACCGAATCACACTCATGTTATTCCATCTCTCACTCAAATCTGTGTTTAATGACCCAAAGAAAACAAAATCTTTCCCATGTTTCTATGACTCATCCCAGAGCTCATCCAAAACCTACCAAAAGAATAAATGAGCAGTTATCTAAGAATAACTAACTTATTTACCGTTAACCCTTCAACGACACAGGAGTTAGGGGCGCCAACACCCTGTGCAGTAAAAAATCTGAATGTAAGTTTTGACTCCCCCAAAACTTAACTACTAACAGCCTACTGTTGACCAGAAGACTTACTGATAACATACAAAGTCAATTAACACATATTTTGTATGTTATCTATACCGGGGTGCCAAAAAAAAATGTATACACATGACTTGTACTCACCTTTTGTTATCAGTATATATTGAGTATTACAATTTTAATACAGTTTTTTCCCTTCTTAAAATGTGTATACGATCATATGAGAAAATACATTTACAGTATTTATTGAAAAATCCAAATATAAGTGGACTCACGCGGTTCAAAGCCATATTGCTCAAGAGTCAACTTATCACCTTTGGAAAACAAAGTACCATATAAGTGTGTCAGTTTTGTTTTGTTTAACTAGCTAGGCACAGAAAAAAACTAAAAGCAAAAATCCATTGAGGCCAATTTATTTCTCACATCAAAAAAGTAGAAGTGCCATGGATAGAGGGTTGGATTGCCAAGCTCAAGTGACAATGGAACACCCGTAACACCCGTATATTAAATAGCACTGTCCGTGGAACAAGACACAAGTTTTTGTGTGAGCAATGAAGAAATAACATAACACTTAACCCTCCCCGGAACAGGGAGAGCCCCTCATCTAAGGGGCAGTCCCCCAACTGGCAGGAATGTTTCTTCTCTCCTGGCTCAGGTTAGTTACCCCAGTGAAAGGTAGGATGGCACTATATAAACCAGCCACGTTCTCAACAGGAAGCTCCTTCGTTCTCCTGTTTTCTATAGAGTTATCCCTTCACCTGACTGATCCTCCCCCATCCCTGGCCCCTGGTTACCCTTACACGTTGCTGAAAGAGAAAGTCTAAAAGCTGCCACTGTTTCCTTCTTTTATAAGTGAAAAGTGAGTTTAGGAAGAGAGGAAAATGGTAAACTAGAATAAAGTTTGGCTTCTCTAAAAGAGCATACAAGTATATTATGCTCAGAGTTAACAAAGATTCCTAAAAGAAAAAAAAAAAAAAAGCCTACAGACTCTACTATGTAAATACTTTAACTAACTCATAATTTTCTTTTTCCATAACTTTGTAATTTGAGTAACTCTAAAGCTTAGTTACCAAACACTGCATCAATGCTGTTTTCATAGCTGTTCAACCTTTATGTAGGTTTTGTTTCCTTAAGTTTTGCTTGTTCTCCTTTCACCCGTTTAATGAACACTTAAGTGCAAGGGGGGAAAAGTAGCAAACAAATTTTAACATAATAGACTCTAAGGGAGGGAAAAAAAAAAAAACCAGGAAACAGAGGAGTACAGTTAATCTGAAAACCTGCCTGCTAATCACTGCCTACTTCTACAATATGACCTTCAACAAATCACTTCAACTTCCTGGGCTTCAGTTTCCCCATCTGTAAAATGAGGAAGAAGGAACAAATAACTGATGCTCAAAATCCCTTCTACAACCTATGAATCTGTTCAGCAGAAAGTAACCAAGTGCAATTGCAAATAAGACTTCATGGCTTACACAGTACTCTCATACATATACTCTCAGTTTTTGCAGCAAAGCTATGAGGCAGTTATTGTGCCCATCTCTACAGAAAAAGTTTTTCAGAAAGAGGTTCAGTTTTGTTTTGTTTTTTTCGTAAGATTCCCTAGCTGGAAAATTTGAAGTTAAAATTCAAAACTAATTGCCTGCTATGCAAAACCTTTATGGTGGCATCAGGGTATCATAACACCAAACCAGGAAAGGTTACTACAAATGGCCCCAGTGGACAGTAAGTTCCTTGAGGCCAGGAAGACACTTTAACTCACCACTGGAATGAGCATGCCTTCCAGTAGAGGCACTCAATAAAGACTGTTTGACTCACCACAAATCTCAAAAGGTTAGGAATATAGTGATATTTTTTTCTGAAGTTGACATATGAACCTCTGTGATTTGAGTTGGAAGGAAGAAAGAAGCATGCATGCTATTTCAGAGCTCTAACTCTACATTAACAGGGATGAGTCTGTTTGTCTTCCTCAGACAAAGTCCGATTTGGTCAGTAAACCAAAGACCCAAAGACTCAAATCTGAGATGTCACTGGAAAATCTTCAGACTAGTCATATGTGCACTGATGTGGACCAATAAAAATGATAACATGACAGTGAGGACTGATGGGGAGCACATAATCATGTTTCATTAGTCACAACATACTTTCTCCTAAACAGGAAAGATTCAGGGAATCTGTACTCTTATACTGTTCCACCTCTTCTCACGCTCCTGTTTCACAGCTCAAAGGGATAGAAAACAGCCACTGATTAGAAAATTCAAGCTGCAAACTTTAGAAAATATACATATTTCAACTCATAGTCGACTGAGATCTCCCAAGACTACTAAACCACTAATCTCAAGCAATCTTCAATCTATGACTTCAATGAAGTTACTAGAAGGTAATTTTTTAAACGTCGTCTTAAAATGGGGGAAGGGAGCTACACCAAAATTACACACCTAATTCAAAGCAAAAACAAATACAAAAGCCAGAAAACAATAGTGAAAGGATAGGGTTAAAAGAATCCCAATATACAATTTCAGTGAGGTGGCTTTGGAATTATTGCCAAGGATTCAAGTTAACCTCGCCATGGGCTTCTACAATGAAGTCACAACTAACACCGCCTGACACTTCAGATCTAAGTGCACTGCATCAAAATTGCAATTTCAAACTCAAGGAGCAGTACCAGGAACTGCAGAGAAGCTAACAGCAACACCTACTGACTGTCTTGAGCCACTTACTTGCTAAACTTGTTCTCTCAGTCAACTAGAGAAATCTAATGATACAGTCAACTTGAAGAGTCCTTTTACTTAAGCATAATGAGATAAGGAAAGTCAGCCACATGGAACCATTCATCCCTCCAAATCTCTTATTTTGCCCCTAACCATTTACATGCAAATCATCACCCAAGTCATTTTAAATGCATTGTTGACTGCTAATGCTTTAGTGTAAATAATTTATTCCATGGGAAAATGTCTTAATATTAATATTCTCTCATTAATAACTGGTATGTCATCTAATAGTCAGAGACATCAGTGACCATAAACTGCTTTATGTAAACCTTTTATTTGAAACCACTGCTGTTACGACTGTTCCATATTATTCCCATCAACTTTTTTTCCTCCTCGTAAAAGTGGCTTAATTGCAGCTTTCAAAAAAGGAAAAAGTGAAAGCCATTAAATCAGTATCATATAGAAAATTAATACCGTTACTAAACTGGCTGCAGAGAATGACTCTATAAGACTTAATCTTGTACATTTCCAAATGATTAAGTCAGAGACTCTTTACCTTGGATGAATATTCCATATGCGAAAACAGGAGAAAGTTGACACTTAACTCCCACAGAGTACCAGTACAAAAACAATGGCTTTAAGAGTCTGAGTCAGAGTTTCAACATGAAGGGTTTGCTTTATAGAGGAAACGCCAACCCCAGTTCATCCAGATAGACCTGGAGCCTGATGAAAGTCAACACCTTTACTCTGGAATTTGCATCGCATCACTGGCTCCCAGTTTAGAAATATAATCGTTTAGCAGGTAGTCAGAATTTCAGTGAATGCTTCTTTCCAGAAAAGTAAAATCTGTAAGGTAAATGCCATCTAGGAGTCATCAGTCTCCAAATGCTTCCCTTCAAAACGAATACCAACAACTCAAACATCTTCCTTGAAAGGGAGCCAATTCCCTGTCTCTATGTTTTCCAAACGGTGAACCCGATGAAATTTCAACCTGCCCAACGCGATTACTTGTCCTCCTAGAAATGCCGTGGAGGTATATGATAGGGAGCCTCGCAAATTTCTTTAAGGTCAGGAGGGAAGTTGGAAACAGATGGGGCGAGGGCGGAAAAGTTCTTTTTGCAGTACCCCCAAGCCTCCCCAGCCCTCGTGTGATTCACTCGCAGCAGGTTAGAGCATCCCGGAATTTCACTCCCCCCCAGACCCATAGGGGAGAAATTAACCACCCGTTCTCACGATTAAACCTCTCGGCCTGTCCCCTCCAGCTCAGCCTACTAGGAGCTCACCCAGGTGACTGAAAGGGAAGAGTCGCCCGGTGGAAACGAGAGCAGCGAGGTGAGTGCAGCCACCCCAACCGGGGCGCGGGTCTCCCAGCTTCTCGCCTGGCGCCTGGCAGATAGTTGTGCAGATTCGGATCCCAAGGTGCGCGCGCGCGCACACCGGGCGCGGTGCAGTCGGACTCGCCCCCCGCCGGGCTGCGCTATCAGCACGCCACCAAATCGGAAATAAAACTTTGACCGGCCTCTCTGTGTCCTGCTCCGGGTCCTGGACCCGAGCCCCCCGCCAGAAAATGGGGTAGGGGGCTGTCAACAATCCTGCACCCCCGCTCCCCTAACCGGACCCGAGGCGCGGGCGCCACTTACCGCTGGGCCGGGCCTCCCCGGTGCTGCCGCGCGTCCCGGGTGCGTCCGCCGCGCGCCCTCCCTGGGGAGAAAGAGAAACCTTGTAGACGGTCGGCGCGCGCTCACTCGCCGCCTTTTCGGCGGAGAACGGCAGGCGGCGAGGCCGGGGAGGGCGCCCAGCGGAGGGGGATCGGAGGGGGGAGGCGAGGGCGAATCAGCCCAACTCCCGAGCCTGGCTCCCGGGGGGACCCGGAATGCAGACTGGAGAGCGGCCAGCGGGGGGCGCGTTCCTGGCGTCGTTGGGGGTGGAGGTGCCCCCGTCCCCGAGCATCAACTATTGTCTGGGCGCTTGGGTCCCCGCTCGCGCCGCCCCCGAGGCTCACTGCCCCCCATCCCGCCCACTTGCCCCCAAGAGAAAGCGCTGAGGGGTCGACCAGCGCGGGAAGCGAGTGCGGAGCGTCCGGGGGTCGGGGGTCCAGAGGTCCGAGGTGGGCGCGGAGAAAAGGGGAGGTGCGTGCCGAGTGGGGGAGGGGACAGGTAACTGCGGACCCGGGCGGGAAGGCCAGGGAGGATCGGTTGGGGGAGGAAATGGGGAGGGAGCCACCGAGGCAGAAGGGGATGGAGTGGCCTGGGGTGGGGGGGGTCGGTCTCTGAAGCCCAGACCTGGCCCTCCCCAGGGACCCCCCTCCCCGGAACTCGGCGCCGCACTGACTTTCGCTCACTCGCTCACGCACGCACTGAACTCGCTCACAAAGTTGCCGGCGTTGGCAGCGCCGCGCTCGCCCTTCCCGTCCCCTCCTTTCCCCGCCTCCCCGCCCCATTCTGTCCCCTCCTTCAATTCACTCCCTCCCTCCTTCCCCGGGTCTCGGGTGAGATCACCGCGGGGCTGCTCAGCGCGGCGCTCAAGTCTCGCGAGAGAAGCGACAGCTCTGCCCAACCCGCGGGGGAAGTGGAAGGAGTCAGTGGAAGGTGGGGGACCACAGAGCTCCTAGTTGCTATGACGACGGCAAAGCCCTGGATTCCTGTCTCCTGCAGAGAGCGCAGGCAGCAAACGTGGGTGCAGTTTTCAACCTGCCCCTTCCCTTGCTCGACGCCCTACTGGTGGGGGAATCGAGAGTGAGAAGGAGGAGGATTTTTAAACCTGTGTTCAGAGAGGATATCTGCGAAAACCGGCGTCATGATAGCTGGCCAAATTTGGCAAATGCGGCTGATTGTTTTTATAAGAGGCTCTGAGGCAGATATCTGCCATAGCGATCTGCGCATATCTGTACCCCCAAATTGCTACCATATATTCAGTTTTTCAACTCCCCGTCTAACTTCATCCGTCAACCCTCACCCACTCCATACCCTCCCTCTGTCTCTCTACCCCAGCCACCCACCCACCCCCTCTGCATCCCCCACCACCACTACCAGACCGGGCTCCTTGAGGAGCTGCCTGATTCATCTTTGTATTCTCAGCGCTTCCACGGACTTGGTACATAGTAGATATTTACCTAATGTCTGTTGGGGAAAATAATTAACCCAACAATCTGTACTTGTCCTCAGTACTTTCCTTTCACCCTACCCCGGAAAATACTTGGGCTACGAATGTGTTTCTACTCCACAGTTATGTTTTTGACTCTACTAAACTATCCTCCCATTTCTGTTCACACAGAATGAGTCTGTTTTAAATAGTTATAATCCTCTCTTTCTCCATCTTTGTCTCATAAAAACCCTAATCACCGTGGAGGGCATTTTTTTTTTTTAATCATTAAGCTTCTTCAGGCGACCCATTCCAAAATGCTGTTAAGGATGAACATGAAATCTTTTCATCCCCAGTGTTTTTCTTTTAATCGTAGTAACTTTTCTTTGAGGGAGTTTATATACCCACTGCCTAAATAAAATGGACACTGTAAACAGAAGTTAAGTTTAAACTTTTGATTTCAAAATGGATGCGTAAAAATCGATTCCATGGTATAGGAGTTATATCTCAATTTAAAAAATAGATTTTATCCCTATTTACATGAATATGGGAAAACCATTATTTAACTTAATCCCATAGAACTAGAAACCTAAAAAAGTATACATGAAAACTCTTTGAGGCTACATGCAAGCTTAAATGCTAGGCGGATGAAAGTTTTTATATTAGAAACCTAGTGATACAGTGATAAAAAAAAAAACACTAGACAAAGTCAGGAAACTACCATTTCAGTTTTTTTCTGTGTCACTAATAATTGAGTCTCCTTGAGAAGTTATTTAACCTTTCTGATTCATCTGTAAAATGAGAGGTAGCCCAGATGTTAGGTCATTACAGCTTTAAAATTCTATAGCTCTTCCATCCATAAGAAGTTCCAATAAGTAACAGCTATCTTCCTTTTACATCAAACAATAAAAAACATGAGTGTTTCATTTTATAGTAGGTCAGTTTCACAAAGTTGAGCTACATGTTGACAAGTTGATTTTAAAGTTCTCTTGTCTCAAGTATAAAAACAACAAAAAATCTTGACCATGTTACAGTAATTTGAAAGGGAATCCATTGTTCCTGATTTGCTTTTACACTAACTCAAAACAGATTCCTTGTTATTTAATAAATATGCTAACTCAAACCAAAGACCCAAACTAAATACATCCACACCCCCACCAAATTAACTTTAAGAGGGAAGGAGGGAAGGAAGGAAGGCAAAAAGGATGGGACCAAAGAAGGGCGGGAGGGAGGGAGGAAGGAAGGAGGGGCCAGCCTTAAATTCACAGGCTGGTATTTTTAATATCAAATTTTTGCACACAGTGGAGCGTCACCATTAAGCCTGTTGGTCTGTTTGAAGGAACCATCTTTCATAGCATAGCACACTACTGTAAATCAGGTGTTGTTCATTTGCTCTGGCTCAACTTTTAACATAGTTTTGCCCTTAAAGGATGACTGCCAATCTGTCTCCACCGCACAGTACAATTTCAGGGCCACCTGTTTTATGACTCCCAGATAGCCATTTGATACATTTAAATAACTGACCCAAGTGGCAGCCAAATCTATTAATTTTATTCAGTGCTTCTTATGAGGCTCAAGAGATGGGTATTGGCCTCAGATTACAAAGATAACTCTCCTAACCATCAGGCACAATGGAATAGTAGAAACTGTTCCAGGGGAAAGCTCTTTCAAGGCCCTGGGCTACTATTTATCCCTCACTGGTGGCAGAACTCTCACCAGTGTTTCTGAAGGAAATAGAAGGTGGAGTCCACCAAAGCTAAGGCTCAAACCGCACATTCTGTGGGTCAGGCACTCCTTCTATATCCTCCCTGACCTTCCAGGGGTTTCAAAATAACAGACAAGGGGCAACGAAAGATGGACATGAGGAATAGATAGTTTGCCAAGCACAGAGTAGATCTCAGCCCACTTCCTGCCCACTCCCTTTCTGGGTTCCTCTATCTATCTCTGCCCAACCCCCCCCACACACACACACACACCCAAGGGATGTGTCAAGTTTCCTAGTGATAAGAAGAACATCTAGTCATTTACTATGTTACTCCTTCCCAATTTGCTTCTTAGTTTGTTAAAACGCAGTGAAATTCATTTCCCTCTGGTTATTCACTTCTACTCAACACCACCCTGATATGTATGGAATGAATTTTGACACAGAAGCCTACCAAGCAAGGAAAATTGATATTTTTTAAAAATATTATGAGCAGCGATTCACATTTGCATGTTTTACAGTGAAAACCTGGTTTGTCCAGCCTATTCTCAGCTTGGAGCTTCCTGTCGCCGGCTCTACATCTACAGGGCATTACTAGCCAATATTCAGAAAAATGACTCAACTATTAACAAGAACCAAAGTGCCCCCCAAATCATCAAAGATTAAATTATAGCCAATGTTGTTTCAATTTTAGGGTTTTATTCCTTTAGCCCTATGTGGTGTAACTCTACCTGAATACTAGATTTCTTAAAACATCTCCTTCTCCCATCTGCATTCCTCAGCAAAGTTGCTACAATTTCTTGTCCACTGTCCCACTCTTCTAAAGGACCATTTCACACTTTCTCTTCCTTTATCAAGCCTCTGGCTTGTTATTCACAGCTAATGGTCTCTCTCATTGGCATAATAGAAGCCATCAGAATAGAGCTTTACACACTCGCCCTATCTACCAACCTACTTGCATCTGTCTGCATCCACTCACCTATCCTCCTGTTACTTGTGATGGACTCTCAGGGCTCTCAGAGGAGTTTAACTTCTCCACCTGTAAACCGTAGCGCTCTGGCCTCATCTCCTTCCTCTCAACCCCGCACCCTCTGTATCCCAGCCACACTGGCTTCTCCAAGTTTCCGGAAATCATCAGGCATTCTCCTGCCTTCAGGCCTCGCATTCGCTCTTCCCTCTGCCTGGGACGCTTTTTCCCCAAGGGCATTTATGACTCATTCCCTCTAGGTGTCTGTTCAAAAGTCACTGTGTTAGTCATTTGCCTGCTTGCTCCCCAGGCCCCACTAGTCTCCTGCGATATCTTGCAAGGGGGCTGACCCCCAACCCCCCCACACACACATGGGCTATGTCTCCCAGGCGCCCTTGTCAGGGGCTTACTGCTGAGTTCCGCCTTTGAGAAGCATGAGAGGAATTTGGACAGATGGAAGGGGCAAGCCTTTCTCCTCTTCTCTCTGTGCCTCGGGCAGTGTCTTAGTAGCAGATGTCTCTCCTCTTTGGCCCCAGGTTACATTGGGTAAGAACCATTCCCAGGCTCGGGTTACATCTTTGGCCTAAAGGTGATAGCAGCTTTCTGGTGTTAGGATTCTCTGGGTTACCTCATCACCATCATCTGGGTTAGCTTCTCAGCCCTTCTGTCACCTGTGTAACAGTTACCCTGTGTTTAATTCCCTCTTTAAAATTACCAAGATTGGTTTCTATTCTCCGAACTGGACCTTGACTGTTACAGCCACCCTTTATGAAACGGCAATCACGGCAGTCTCATACTTTCCAGGCCCCAGCTTTGTTTTTCTCTAGAGTCCGAGTCACCCTCTGACAACTGTTGTTTGTTGTTTTACTATCTATCTCTCATCTAGAATGTCAGATCCCCAAAAGCAGGAGCTTTATGTCTGCTTTGTTACTGCTGTATTCCCAGCACCTAGAACAGTGCCTGGCACATAGTAGGCACTAAATACATGTTTGTTGAATGACCAAATAGGACTGTTTTAAAGACAAAGTAAAAGGGCTAGCAGAATATGGTAGGCAGACTAATCCCCCCAAAGATGTCCCTGTCCCTAATGCCTAGAACCAGTGACTGTTACCTTACATGGCCAAAGGGATTTTGCAGTGTGATTAAGTTAAAGATCTTGAGATGGGGAGATTATCCTGGATTATTCGAGTCGGCCCAATATAATCACAAGGTTCTCATAAGAGGGA